ACAGAAAAGCCAACACACCACAAGCATACTCACAGCACAATCTTACACATCAATGACGACCTGTGCCTCCAGACAGAGACCTCCTCTTGACATCTTGCAACACAATCGCCGCTTGCTAGAATGACTCTTGCAGAATGCAATGTGACCATGGCAGCACCTCACGATACTCTACGCACATCCTCTTATCTACTCATTACCAATTACCACTGAAATCGCTTGCCACGCATTCTGCCTTAGTTCTAGTAACGGTGATGTATGCGAGCCTCAGTCGTTTACACTCTTTCTCCCCGGCGTGTCGGACCGCAGCTAACAATTATCTCCGTGTGCATTTCGTTCTCAGCGATAGCCTCCCCGGCGTATACGACCCATCTGCTGTCCTTAACATCAATCAATTCATTCATGGATGTAGAAGACTCGAAACAACTTCAGAAGTAATCACGACGAAAATTTTAACAAAATTACGCAATAACAACAAGATACGAAAACAACAAGTAAACATAATGAATCCAAAATACACCAATTGATATGACACACCACACGTGAATACAAATAGTACAAACAACCTCGCCGATCATGTCTTGGTGGAATTATTTTGAAGAATTGGAGGACTTACACCAGTACGCCTGCAACCCTTCACAGGTTGACGATTGTAAGTTGTGGAATGTCCGGACACAAACAAGATTAACCAGCAATTACAATAATTGGAACTCACACAATTATTTAACACAAACATATGTACAAACAATACATCAAACGTGGTGGATTCTGCCTTGACGAACTACCCTTGAAGAACTGTAGGACTTACAGCAGTACGCCTACATTCCTTCTCAGGTTGGCGATCCAAGTGGAAGTCGTCCGGACACAAACAGAATTACCAACAGCTAGATGACAGATGATATCAATTCAGTATATACAATATGAACATATGTACAAGATCATACACCAAGCACATTGGACTGCTCATTGATGCGCTACCCTTTGAAGAATTATAGGACTTACACCAGTACGCCTACAACCCTTCTCAGGTTGACGCTCTAGGTTGGAAAATCGTCGCAGAGTTCATTTGCTAACTTCCTTCTATCAGCTATATCCTCAAATCTGAACGGCAACACGCCCATGTCATTGTATCGTAGAATATAGATGACCAACAAACACACGACATATCTCATCAACCAAGTATAGAAACAGAGTAATTTACACCAAAGATAATAACATTCAAATAGTAACTTGAAACTAGAAATGCCTTTATTCGTGCAAGTCAATTTAACAATAACTCTCTCCTTTACACTTGGCTTATCCACACTAAACTGACCATTGATATTCGTCCTTTCAAACGAACTGATACTACCATAATCATTGGACAATATACTTGAGTTGATGGGTGTCTGTTTCATTGTGGATGGCGTCACCAACGACGACTGATTGATATCAGTTGATGAAGTTAGCTGTGGATAAAAAGCTGTTGTTGCTCGACTTTCAGAAATTTGTCTACCTGCAAGATCACCACCACTGCTGTCTTTTACTATCAGCTCAGGTTTAGCACTAGCATCTGATGATAGGTGGGCTACATGCTGATCACTCACAGTGACGGTCTCACAAATATCCATAACTTCTGCAACTGCATCTGCATTTATTTCTACTTCACGTTCAAGTTGTACAGAAACTTTGTTCAACTTAGCAGTAGTAGGCATATCACAGATCTCATCATGATCAACCGGAGACAACTGTGAAGTATCATGATCATTATCACGAATATTCACTTTACCGTCAACTTTATCATTTTCAAACTCTTTAATAACAGAAGTAGACAATTTTGGTTCCTCCTCACAAATCATTAAAGGTTTTATAACTTCACTCTGACTAGTTATACCTTGTAAACTTTTGGAGTCAGAACTGCACTCTGAAGCAGTAACTCTATTCTGTGACACTCTATTCAACAATGGCTTACCAGTTGCAACTACAGACTTCTTCACCACACCGTTATCGTCACACAATTCGGAGTCAGGCCCGGAGTTTACATTTAGCTTATCACTGAACTTGCTCACTGGTTCACAGCTCACTTCTGTATGCACCTCTTGCAAACGTGTGAAACACAACCGTGTTTCTCTTGCAGCTTGCAATTCATCTGTTGAGCATGTACTACGAAACCTGTTGCACTCACTAAGTTTATATGCATTACTAGACATCATGGAGCCTTCTCGATATCCACCTCTCTGAGGCATATTCGTCATCAGTGATTGTATTTTGCTCTCAGACTGCTCTATTCTAGGGGTGAGATGCAATATACTGGAAAACTTGCTCATTGATTGATTGACGCTATCTTTTAAAAGTTTCAGGATATCATCAAACTTTGGCTCGATACCTTCATCCTGCATACGGGAGCTCATCTTCACCCACTTCCTTTGCAGTCGAGTAGGTAGACGTCTTGCTATTACTTCTAGTATAAAACTCGAGTTGAGATCACTCATGCAATTCATCAAAATCAATGCATTCTTGTAAATTAGCAAATTATCTAAAAACTCAGTGAGTGCCTGGGAGTCATCCTGTAATTGACCACCATTACCCTTAACAGCCTCGAATAATTTCCCCGCAATCATCGAAGGTCTTCCAAACCTTTGACGTAATATGCTCATAGCCTCGTAGTAGCCCTCTTTTGGCTTCATAAACTTACAACACTGTATAGCTCTCGCAGCATCTCCAGTGCAATACCTCATCAAATACATTAACTTCAATTCATCACTTGATAGAAAACCACTCAACATGATCTCAAACTCCTTTACAAATTGTAAATAATCAGCTGGGTTTCCATCGAAACATCGTGGTTCTAATTTAGGGAGTTTGATGTTCCTATTATCTCTGAACGGCGAAACAGTAACATCAACCATATCATGCTTAACATCAGACACATCGTTACAATTAACAGACAAGTCACCATGACTTACTTTCCTGTTTGCATCCAAGACACTCTGTCCCTTCTTTGACCCAGGCATTGTTGAACTTGACCCAATTCCAAGAAAGTTCCATATATTGCTTGTTCAAAGAGGACTTGACCGGCACCAGGAAAGATGAACGGCGACTATCCAAACTTTCACCAACTGTTTGAATCCGCCAGATCTGTTTCTATCGTCAGAAACTGTCAATCACGTCTCATAAACCGTTAATGCCCAGCTCTCGCTACGCTCGGGCCCACGCTGTTCCTCGAAGATTTCAGAAACGCTTAGTAATAACGGACGCAAAATCCAAAACACCGATCTGCCGTTTGATATTTCTTTATTGTTACACCAACATATAAAAAGGATAAGCGAACTAAGGTTTCTTACGGTGTTTCACTCTTCTTTCTGAACAGCGACCGATGAGACGATGACTGTCGTATTGATGCCTCCGCGAAAATTGGGGAAGTTGGTTTTGAGCAAACATCCAAGAATTGATCGTTCAATCTTCAACTCCATTGACACAAGTAGATTGTCTTGATTTTCTTTTAGAATGAAGCGTGAGTTCCGGCTGCCTTATGTACTTTCTGAACACACTGACTGTACTACAGGAGAAATGGGGAATTAAATGACATGCCTTGCACCCTATGGGTCAAGCTACGCTTCAAAATTGCTACACTGCTAATAGAATATATGTACAGAGCCCTTGGCACCTTCAGTGATTACGAGACACAGCTTGTAAATGTACTGGAGCAAGTATACTCTCTTCCATACGAACATAAGATCATATGTGGTGACTTCAACCTACCTGAAATCAACTGGGATTTATTAACGGGCAAAGCTGAGTTTCACAAGCTCTTAGGTACACTGGATATCTTCGGCTGGAAACAGACTGCCACCAACCCCACAATAGGTGACAATGTACCGGACTTAATATTCTATGAAAGTATATAAGTCCCCTTTCAATCTGAGTTGGTTCTCAGTTTTCAGGTAATAATATATATTTCTTCCTGTTTATGCAGGAACATACCAATTGTACAGGCATGGATAAGTTATTATATAAATTACACATAATTTGATGTATGATGAATTTACAGTTTGGTTGTTCTCTCTGACATGAGAGTCAGTCGGAACAGTCTGCTATAAAGTCTGTGTAGCACATAAAGAGATATAGAAATATTGTCTTCGCATTAAAAAAAACCAGACATCAGATGAATGTAATACGGATATCTGGGAAAAAAAGCTTGAAGTCAATTCTCTTATATAACTTTGTTGTGAGCAACACCCTTGGTTTGAAGTTTATTGATGTATTATGTTGAGATCAGTGATATATTTATTCCACTTTTTCAGCAGTCTTATCTTAGTTTTATAACAGGAAAGAAATTTGACCGTGGATACGAAAACTAGATAAGGTCATGTTAAGTTGTTTTACTGCATCAAATGGTGTCGAGGTCGATTCCAGAATTCTCCATTTGCTCCATTTGTGTCTGCATGGCGGACTGTATTCGTAAGTTCAGAAAAATGTTGAAAACCAGTTGCTTCTTCATTTCAGATCATGAATACTCATTTACAGCATGTTCGCCAGCGTCTTCAAATGGTAGATTTGGATCGTTCATGGAATTTGAGTGGTTATGATATAGATGGTTTGGAATTAATCCTCATTTCAGTTTAGATGCAGGGTTGTTCGACCTCGACCAGAAGATGAATAAGAGCAGCAGAATACCAGAAAGAGAAAGTATGTGAACATTAAAAGGATATTAATGTATATGTATAAATGTTTATGTCAATTTTATAACATATAAGTAAAAAATTACTTTTAATTATAGTTGCCTTTTCACTTTATTTATGCGAAGTCTTAGAGTTTATTTAGTGTCATAATGTGTATTAATGAGTCTGAGCGTTTTAGTGTTCTAATGACTGATGCGTTTTAGAAGTAATTAATGGTTTCTGGTAGGGGTAGTCATTGGAATAAAACAGTTTATATAGCAAGCGTTTGAAGGTTACAATAAAGTGACACGTCCTATTTCTAAGGGTAAACTAATCCTGTATGTTCCGTACTGTCTTTATGCATCCATGCTGCTAGTTTATTTATAGTTTAAAGATTGCTAAGGGTGTTGGAGTGCGTCTTTTAGGTGCTGTAGTAGATTAGTGATTGATTCGTTCTAGGAGTAAATAGTTTATTAATATAATCAGTAGAGTGAAACAGTCTGTATAGAGAGCGTTTGAAGCTTGTAACTGAAGAGCAAGTTCTGATATCTATAGGCAGGCTATTCCATATTTTAGAATACATGACTGTGAAGAAGTTTTCACGGAGTGTTAACCTAAAAGAATGAGTTGTCACTGTGGAAGTTTGGTTACGTAGATCGTAAGAACCTTCCTGTGCGAATTGTATGTCCCTGTTCCCTGAGAATGATATTTTGTGAAGGACCTTAAAGAAGAATATTAGGTTTATAATAAGTCGCCTTGTCCAAAGTGGGTCAAGTTTTAGGATCATACACCGTGAGATGTAGTCTTTCTTACAATCATAGCCTAGGAGTTTTGAGGTAAAATATCGTTGGATACTTTCCATCCTTAGCTTGTCACGTGTGCGAGTGCTGCTTATAATAAATGGACAGTATTCTAGTAGTGGTCTGACACATGTTTTGTACAAAATTAGCTTGGCTTCATTGTCGTGAAAGTTCCTGAGTATGCATCCTAAGAGCATCCTCGATTTTCTAGTCTGTGCTGCTACTTGCTCAGAGAATGTCAGGTCACTAGAGTACCTAAGGCCTAAGTCAACAACACTTCGGAGTCTTGTTAGGTTAGCAGATTGGAGCGTTAATTTCAGGTCAATTGAGGGTGCGCCAAAGCAGATCCAGCCACATTTGTTCAGATTGAATTGGAGATTCCATAGGGACGACCAAGCAGTCATTTTATCTAATTCCTTCTGCACTACATTCTCGAAGTTCCCTAAGTCATCACTTTGGAATGTATAAGCTACTTTTAGGTCATCCGCAAAGATGAATGGTTTCCCGTGCGTGAAGCAAGCGCATATGTCATTGATGTATAGCGTAAATAGGAGGGGTCCAATGACACTACCTTGTACTACACCAGAAGTGATAGGGCTAGGTTTGGAGGTTGCAGACCCGAGTTTAACTATTTGGGACCTATTGTTAAGGAATGATTTAAGCCAGCCTAATAATGGGTCACGTATTCCTAAGGAGTTCAGCTTATTTGTTAGCAGTAGATGGTCAACACGGTCAAATGCCTTAGAAATGTCAAAGTAGATGACAAGTACTAGTTGCCGTCTGTCACGACTGCTGGTTACGAAATTGAAGAAGTCTAGGTGACACGTTAAACATGATCTGGATTTCAGGAATCCATGTTGGTTCGGACTTATAATATTGCGGCTAAGCATATGTTTGATTAAGTTATCTTTGACTAGTCTCTCCATAATTCTAGACGCTATAGGTGTGATATTGATCGGCCGGTAGTTACTGACTTCAGTTTTCGAGCCAGATTTGTGTTTAGGCATAATGAATGTAGTCTTCCATATGTCAGGGTAAGTTTGAGTTTCTAGGGACATTGTGAATATTTTAAGCAGCAGTAGAGGAATGTCAGGGCCACCGTGTTTATAGAAGTAAGATGATATACCATCGGTACCGAAACCTTTTGAACTTTTGAGGGTTCTTATAGTTTGGTTAATATTAGCATAAGTGAATTTTACAGTACTAATTTGGTTTGGTGTGAGTGGAGATGGTGTTTGTGCCATATTATTAATAGGGTGTATATCGAGTAGCTGGACTGAGGGCTTAATGTAGTTACCTGCAAACGTTTTGTTGAATAGTTCACATATGTCTGCAGAGTTAGTGCATAGCCTACCTTTGTCTATGAGGAGAGAAATGCTGTGGTTTTTGCGATTCATTCGCTTCCTTAAGATTTCTGTGAGTGCATACACTCTAGCAGGACTGGCTACTGCGATGCGTTCTTCGTTTCTCATACGGAAATCTCGAGCTTGTGAGACGGAGCTAAGGGTGTTAAGTATTAGACCTAGAGTGCCAAAGTCATGCTGTTTGAAGTAACTTGTTGAGAGTTTCTTCAGTTTCATACGATCCTTTGGTTTTATGAATGACTTTCTGTGTGGGGAAACCTTTAGTGTTTGTAGTGGAATGACAGCATCTAAGCATGTGTTAGTGTTATGGTAGAAGATGGTTAGGGCTCTCGAGAGGTCATCAGTAGTGAAGTATTCATCCCATTCGGAGGATCTTAGCATTGATTCTACCAAGGCCCAGTTTGCCTTACTATAGTTCCTATATATTACTTGTTGTGAAGTGGAGGTATGAGCTGCATTGCTACTCAGCGGAATTGGCAGTGCACACATCACTGTTTTGTGGTCGCTCCCTGGAAACTCAGAACCTACTAGCGTTGAAAGGGGGCTTATATTGTGGCAGAAGATTAAGTCTAGTACGTTGTTACCTCTTGTGGGAGTGGTGACAGTTTGTTTCCAGCCAAGTATATCCAGTGTGCCTAAGAACTTATCAAATTTAGTTGGGCCTGTGGGTATATCCCAGTTGATTTCAGGTAAGTTAAAGTCCCCACATAGGATCTTATGGTCGTATTGTAAGTCGGATAAATGCTCCAGAGTATTAATAAGTTGGGTCTCGTAATTACTAAAGGTGCCAGGTGCTCTGTAGGTGCATCCAATTAATGCTGTTACGTTATTTAAGTGTACATTAACCCATAGAGTCTCAGGCATGTTAAGTGTACTACTTTCTAGCTGTGATACAGTAAGTGCATTCAGAAAGTACATGAGACAACCCCCTCCCTTACCACCTTCCCTGTCACACCGAAAGTGTGTGTAGTTATCTAAGCTTATTTCTTCATCCAAGATGTTCGAATGACACCAAGATTCAGTGATGACAATTACAGGGGGTTTGTATATTACTGTGAGTGCTCTGAGCATCGGCAATTTATTTAGAACAGATCTAGCATTTATGAGGATTAGGTAAAGATGAGAGTTGAAGTAGCATTTGAAGTATTTAAGTTCGTTAGTCAACCCCGAATATGGTTCAGCACACAGTAGTTCTGCTTGACATGATGATCCTATGTTAAGAGGAGTTCCAGCATCATGCTCACCTATGTCTATCGAGTTGGTGTGTGCTGTTTTCGGTGGAGAATTAGGAGTTGGAGTACTGGATTTGCTATAGACCAAGGAATTTTTATTTTTAGTTAGGTTACAGAAGTGGGTAGGGTTCTTTATTTGACCTATATTTGTGCAGGTGTCAAGTGTGCCTAATGGATACGTGTGCACTAGACCGTTCCTGTTTTCATGCAAGGAGGGAGCCAGCTCTAGTGGTTTAGGAGTGTCAACATCCCTACCAGCTGTTTTTTCAACGCTGACAGGGACGCGGGGGATAAAAAATGATTGGATCCTTTTGATGACCATGGCTTATTATTCCACCTATTGTTTGATGCTAGTTGTGTCCTTGTGTGGGTTTCATGTGTACTGCATTGTGGGTTAGTTCCCAGCAGACTTGTACCATATATCCGGTCAAAATTTGTTTGTGTGCCATACTCTGAAGACCCTAAGTTGTTGATATCCGAGTTCTGACTATTACCACTTGTACTATTGAGGGTGACATTGTTGTGACATTGGATATCAGTGTGTGCCATGGTGCGATTAAGCACGTTGTGGGTGCTAGTACTATTGACCGTGGGAAGTGTGGGTTTATTTAAGCTGCCACTGTTTTTGTTGGTATGATTTAGGGGCATATTTTCCTTACCTTTAGCAATGAAGTTATGGCTAGGAGATGACAAAGTCGAATTTCGGGGGTTTTTGACTTTTTTTCTGGGGTTATTTAATGGCATTTTAGATTCTGCGGTGATGGGTGGTGTGGTTCTGTTATTTATTTGCTTACAGTGTAGTGGCCTTTCAGCTGGTGTTGCACTCTGATGGGATAATTCTGTGTGTTTTGAGAGGGGTGATGCGGTGGGGTCTACTGTATCTTTCACAGGGTTGGGAATAATGGCTGCTTGCAATGTCCTATTACCTGTTTCACAATTAGTCTTAGTGAGATAGTTGTGTGCGCGCCTCTCTATGACTGTTTTGTCCACCCCGACCTTTATATGTTTGTAGTTTTTGGCTTGCGATAGGGTGTGTTGGGAGTGGATGAATTTTCTTGTCTCTGCCGGTGTTTCGAACTGAAAACGAATAGGACAACACTTTTCATGTTGACTCTTCTTCAGCCTATAGCACTTAGTCTTGGAGTTAGGCATTTTCGCTTCACTAAGTAAGATGCGCTGTACCTTTTTTAGTGCCTCATTGTCCGGAACGTTGTAGACAATAGCACTCAGTTTTGCGTCGAGTCGTTTTGTTACTTCTGTGGTAACAAAATTAATGAGGTTATCTACCCTAGTTACCGATTCTGTGTCAAGCTTGTTAAGATTTACAGTTTTCATGAGGATAGTTAGAGGTGTCAATTCACAGACCTGCGATCTGATATCACTGATCTGATCTGATAGTTTGGATATCTCGGTATCGGTTTCGATGTTTCCAGCATTTACTGACTTACTGTTTTTTATTTCCCTTAACTCAGCCTTAAGTTCACCTATAGACAACTTTAGAAGTTCTATTTCTGAAGATAGTGCAGAAGAAGAGCTTGATGGCTGGAGTTTTTCGATAAGCACATAAGGTGAAGGGAGGGGTTCTGTATGAGCAGAGGGTACTGAATTTTTAGGAGTAGTGCTAATACTAGCTGTCAGTACAGTTTTATCCTCAGTTCCAGCTCGACGCTTACGGCTTACAAGTGAGTTGTGTGACTCATTATAGCCGTTTGTAGGGGGTGTGTTGCTTGATGTAGCTATCAAGGACGTTATATTAGACACCAGTTTTACAGGGGAATGGGTTCGTCGCTTTTTACTTTGATTAACCATAACTATTAGAAATGAGAGTTAGTGGTTACAAGTATGGAAGTGGTATAGTACTTGTGCAAGTATTACAACAAGATAAATTTTATGTAACGAATCACGTAAAAATGTAACGCAAACGTTGAACGTACCGCGATACAGATATTGTGGGGAACTATATTAAGGCAAACTGGGCTTTCGTAGAATCGATGCTAGGATCCTCTGAATGGGGCGAATACATCACTACTGATAACCTCATGAGAGCTCTGAACACCTTCTGCTAGAACTCAAAACATGCTTAGATGTTGCCATTCCACTCCGAACACTAAAGGTTACCCCGAATAGGAAGTCATTTATAAAACCAAAGGATCGTATGAAACTGAAGAAACTCTCAACAAGTTACTTCAAACACCACGACTTCGGCACACCATGGTCATTACTAAACACCCTTAGCTCCATCTCACAAGCTCGAGATTTTCGTAAGAGGAACGAAGAACGAACCGTGGTAGTCAGTCCTGCTGGAGCGTATGCTCTCACAGAAATCCTAAAGAAGCGATTAAATGGCGAAAATCACAGCATTTCTCTCCTCATAGACAAAGGCAGGCTATGCAGTGATTCTGCAGACATGTGTGAATTATTCAACAAAACATTCGCAGGTAACTACCTTAAGCCTACAGTCCCGTTACTCGGTATACAGCCTGCTGCTAATATGGCACAACTTCCATCTCTACCCACACCGAAATAAATAAATGCCGTTGAACTCACTTATGCTAACATTAACCAAACCAATAGAACTCTCAAAAGCTCGATGGATTTTGGTACTGACGGTATATCATCCTATTTTTATAAATATGGTGGCCCTGACATCACCTTACTGCTGCTTAAAATTTTCACAATGTCCTTAGAAACCCAAACTCACCCTAATATATGGAAAACAACATTTATTATACCTAAACACAAATCTGGCTCGAAAAAAGAAGTCAGTAACTACCGGCCGATCAATATCACACCTATAGCGTCTAGAATTATGGAGAGACTAGTCACAGATAACTTCATCAAACATATGCTTAGCTACAACATTTTTAGATTTTTTTTAGATTTTTAGATTTACAGCTTGATTCCACACTGTATTTTCGGTACAAGTATGGAATTTTCAGCATGGATATCGGTAGCCCAAATTTCGCAGGCCGACCACAGGCGACAACTAGTACTTGTCATCTACTCTGATATTTCTAGGGTATTTGACTGCCAAAACATAAGCTGAACTCCTTAGGAATACGTAACCCACTACTAGGATGCCTTAAATCATTCCTTAACAACGGGTCTGAAATAGTTAAACTTGGGTATGAGACACCCAAACCTAGACCACTCACGTCTGGTGTAGTACAAGGCAGTGTCATTGGACACCTCCAATTTACACTACATATCACATGGGATACCATTCATCTTTGCAGATGAGCTAAAAGTAGCCTCTACATTCTAATGTGATGACCTAGGGTTGTCAACGTCCCGGTCTAACTACAATGGACCTCACGCTGTCCTTGAAAGACTTTCAGAAACTATGCGTAATAACTAACGCGAAAAACCAGAACGCAAATTGGTGACTCAGGAACCTTTTATTCTTGCACCAATGCAGAGTCAACCATTAATTTTAACAAAATTACGCAATAACAACAGGGTACGAAAACAACGAGTTAACACAATTAATCCAAAATCACAAACTGATATGACACACCACACATATATATAGAAACAGTACAAATAACCTCGCCGATCGCGTCTCGATGAAATTCCTTTGAAAAATTGCAGGACTTACACCAGTACGCCTACAACCCTTCTCAGGTTGACGATTGTAATTTGTGGAATGTCCGGACACAAACAAGATTTACCAACAATCACATTAAATGTAACTCACACAATTATTTAACACAAACATATGTACAATCAATACATCGAATGTTGTGGATTCCGGCATGACAAACTACCCTTGAAGAACTGTAGGACTTACAGCAGTGCGCCTACATCCTTCTCAGGTTGGCGATCCAAGTGGAAGACGTCCAGATACAAACCAAATCACCAACAGCTAAAAGACAGATGATACCAATTCAGTATATACAATATGAACATATGTACAAAATCACACACCGAGCACATTGGACTGCTCATTGATGCGCTACCCTTTGAAGAATTATAGGACTTACACCAGTACGCCTACAACCCTTCTCAGGTTGACGCTCTAGGTTGGAAAATCGTCGCAGAGTTCATTTGCTAACTTCCTTCTATCAGCTATATCCTCAAATCTGAACGGCAACACGCCCATGTCATTGTATCGTAGAATATAGATGACCAACAAACACACGACATATCTCATCAACCAAGTATAGAAACAGAGTAATTTACACCAAAGATAATAACATTCAAATAGTAACTTGAAACTAGAAATGTCTTTTGCTCTCAGTCTATTGGACAAAATGACTCCACTGTCCCTTATTATATAATCATCAGTATTAATTTAGGAGTAATATGACGATAGATTCTCACCCTGAGATAAGTAATGGGACACCATACTCCGTAGTCACGAGGGCTTCAGCCAAACTAGGCAAACGGGTGAAGCTGCTGGACTCACGCATACCGGTCTTGAAGACCAGGGCAAATATTACCCTGCTCGTACAGATTGCCCATGTCGCCACAGTCCTACAGTGAAGCTATGCAAAGTCAACCAAGTGGATGTGGCTCCACCCCTGTTAACACGACTAGGTTAACTGAGCCGAGTGGGAAAATTGCACTAAGTGAGAACTGCATAACACCCGTCCCCGTGGTAGGCCATGAAACAAATAGGAAGACCAAAAATAAACGTTCACGACGTCGCAAGACGACAAGAACGCCCTTCAAGAGGGCAGACGACTGCAAGGTCTGCGCTTCTGTTGTCGAACAAGCAGACTCTGCTTTCGAATGTAACTTTTGCAAGAGATGGGTGCATTGCAGATGCAACAATGGGGTACTAAAAGCATATTATGACTATGCGTAAAAACCCATGCCAATGGTTCTGGTACATATGCCTGAGTTGCCGTCCTGATGTAGCCTCAAGTAGTCCTCTGAAAACTAAAGTTGGCGCAAAAGTAGCAGGGAAAAATTTGAAATGTTCGACCCCCACCAATTCGGAAAATAGTACAAGCGCACGTAAACCGGGGATACCAAAATCCTCACCGGTTAAACTTGTAACTCTTGCCATAACCGCTCCAGACACAGAGGCTGGAGCACCACGGGTTTCCGTCGTTGGAAAAAGACCCCTATCGTCTGTCAGTAATACTGGCCATAGCACTGAGATACACAAAAATACCCAGTCGCACCAGACGAAACAAAATGGTCTTAAAGGGGATCACAAATGTGCGAGGGCCGAGCCTAAGCCCACGGTTAGTAGATCAAATTGTGTAATCCTCTTTAACGTACCAGACTGTAGCAGTAGTCTGCTGAAGGATAGGGCCCTATTTGATCAGGAACAGTGGTCCATCTTGAGTAGCACACTGGGTTTGGACATCCAACCGGTAAATCTATGCAGATTGTACAAGGGCAATGCTGCACCTGAAGGCAAACCATCCCCACTCAGGGTAACATTGAGCTCTACTGAGGATGTTGAAAAAGTGTTACTGGCTTCTCTAGTCCTTTCTATAGGGAGGGCCTGTAACATACGTGTTAAGCCAGACAGGCCGTGGAAGGAAAGACAAATGGCGAAGGAGTCGCCAGAGCTCATTCCTTCTGCCTCCATGGTTGTGCATGGCATTCCCGAACTGGGAACTGGGAACGCCTGCGAAAAGCATTGTCATGATATACAACAATGGAGACGGCTGGCATCCCAGATGGCCCCGGGAGAGTTCAGGGGCTGTCTCTATTTATAGACTGCCTCGACCCACTCACCTTATGTCAATTAAATCGCCACGTCTGTTAGTTGTCAAGTTCAGCTCCCAAGACCAGTTGACTACCGCTCTCCATAGATGGTACGAGACCAAGGACAAGGTCAGCAAACACATTCGCTGCTGCGAGAGCCGGCCTCGCACTCAAAGGAGAGAACAAAGCGTAGTAAAAGAAAATCCTCAACCCCTAGTCACCCTACAGCGGTGCAGCACGGACGATGATAGCCAGTGTCATCCGAGTGCTCCGACTGAACTAGAAGAAAAAAATGCCAACAGGCCGGTTCCTGGCGAATCGGCCAACTAGTTCGTAGGATAACTCTTCAACCGATAGCCAATATCAAGTCAACCACCCCCCAATACGGGGAATTGGTGAGACTGACTACCAGTTGCCTGTATAGTAATGTGAGAGGGCTAAGAGGCAAAATAGCTGAACTTAGACACCTACAATCACAACTGAACTCCAAAATCATAATACTGGCGGAAACCTGGCTAACCCCTACGGTGGCAGACAGCGAAGTCAGTATAAATGATGTGGTCCTAGTCAGGCGAGATAGGGACCTGAAGGAAGGAGGTGAAGTCGCCATATACGTCGACAAACAGCTCAGATCTGTTCACGCGATGGACCCTCCCCTCACAGAGCTCCCTGACTCCATATGGTGCCACTTCATCGTTGGGTACTGCAAATATCTAGTGGGCAGCATTTATCGATCACCTTCATGTGGAGCAGACCACAACCAGGTACTGCTAAATACAATCTCAGCAACTCAAGACATGGGTTATGATCAAATTGTCATAGCTGGTGACTTCA